TCTAGAGTTAGGAATGTTTTATTTTGCAAACACTGTCGGCACATTATCATTTTTTTTTTTTCATGACGTAAATTATATAAAAATTGTACAAATGTTTTCTATATCTAAGCATTTATAAATGTTTTTATATAATTTGTGTTCTGAAAATAAAAAACAAAATTATAATATCCACTATGAACACGGCTGCAATGGGCTGACAGTGTTTGTAAAATAAGAAATTCCTGTAACTCTAGATACATACATAAAACAATACATACATTCAGTTAAAAGTAAGATAAAGTTCATCCTTGAATGTTTACATACACACAAACAAACACACACACACACACACACACACACACACACACACACACACACATATATATATATATATATATATATATATATATATATATATATATTCGTAGCAGTGAAACACCAGCAACAAAGATCCGTGACAAACGAACTGTGAACACCACCCAACGAAACTATAAACTTACGCCAAAAACGTAGGTACGCGTATATTAACACACACACACACACACACACACACACACACACACACACACACACACACACACACACACACACACACATATATATATATATATATATATATATATAGAGAGAGAGAGAGAGAGATACTAAACTAAAGAAAAAGAAACGATGTTGGTGTGACCAACAGACATCTTGCCAGAAGAACTAACACATTAGACAAGAAAAATCCTGAACAAGGAAACAAAAAAAAAGACCAAAAGCAAACACTTACCTATTTAGTAAAGTGCTCAACTCCCAGATTATCTAGATAGACCAAAAACCGCTTCAGGTGCATATATATATATATATATATATAAATATATATATATATATATGTCTGATTGAATAAATTACAGACATTGTCTGTTAATTTTTAATAAAATCCGTTCATACCCACGAATAAGCTTCCGTGTATTGATGTTAAAGGATGAGAGAAATCTGCCATAGCTGTTTAAATTTCTTTTATTTTCATTTGCCAAGTACTTTCGATCTTCTTCCAAGATAATCTTCAGGGGTGCAAGTAGTACAAATCTATATGTTGTTCATTAATATAAATATTTATACAAAGTTGTGCGTTGTTATCCATTACCGTATTTTCCCCTATGCTTTTAAATGCAAAACGGTTGACAATGCGTTCATTAGAACGTGAAAAAATTAACCATTATGGAATTTTTTCTCTCTATGTTTTAATGTAATAGTAATGCGCGCATTAGAGTATGAAAAAAAAAAGACTGTTTCTTTACAGGCATTTCAGAACATTACTGCAGTATTCGTAGTTGATTCTGTTCAGTGCTGGTTTTAATTTTTTAGCATATATATATATATATATATGTTTCTCTGCATGCAACCGTTTATCCAGCTGTTTAAACTATAACTGCGCCAAAGGGAACGGAATCAATGACCTCGACCAGAATTTGATCCCGGCTTGGCAATCTCATGTAGCAGACCAATAACCACCACCTGCACATCAATATCAGTCTTAGGGAATTATGTTTAGTCGGTTCGATAGAAAAATGAAAACAAAAACAATATTTTTGCCCAGAGAATATCGACTACAGGACAGATCTTGTTATATTAAAGCAGATGCAAGTTTAAATATAGTTCCGTTGCCCATATAACTGAAAGTTAATTCACCAAGAGAATTTTATTTTATTTCTGCGCGCCGAGAGGACGGTGTTGGTTCACTGAGAAGTAAATCCAGTTAACTATAGATAGCGAACAACATTAATAATTCGATCGATGAGATCAAAGACAATTCGATCATTGGAAATGACATTGCCAGATGGGCTCTTTAAAAACGGTAAAGCCTTGAGAGAGATTGTCGAGAAATAAATCTAGATCGAAACAAACGTGTATAATAAATGAACGAACGGATGAAAACATTTCTTTTCAGGGATCCACAGAAATTGCTTTAATATTACCGTTTAATTACGTTAATGGTCGACATTCATTGCCAGAGGTCAAATTCAGTTTCAGTAAGGTGTTTACCGCAAATTAAATAAAAGAGACGAGATAAAAAAAAAAAATCAATTTTCAAAACGTTCTAATCACTCTGTTCCTATTTATCTACCCATCAATCTATCTATGTATCTAAGTCCGTTCCAATCTATCAATCTATCTAGCTAGCTAGCTAGCTAGCTATCTAGCTATCTAGCTATATCTAACTATCTATGTCTGCTCTATCTATCTATCTATCTATCTATCTATCTATCTATCTATCTAGCTAGCTAGCTAGCTAGCTAGCTATGTCTGTTCCTATCTATCTGTCTAGTAAACGTGTATATATATATATATATATATATATATATATATATATATATATATGCGTGTGTGTGTGTTTGTTGTGTGTGTAAACACGGTTTTAAATTTCCTTAAAAATCATTTAAAACTTTGCCATCAGCTGAAGAAGTACAATCATATTATTGAAACAAGAAAGCTTTAGTGCAGCGATTTCAAAATGTTTTTATGATAATCTCTTATAGTAAAAATATAATTATAATGAATTGGCCTACTTTGTATTGAGCACTTTTTTAAAAAAAGTAAATGATACGGACAATGGATTTTGACTCCATTTGTTCATTCTCTTATTTGGATATGAAGGTTGCGTTTGGCTTGAAGTTTGCATCCGGCATGAAAGAGACCCTGTCGCCATTCTGTGTCCATTTTTATATTTACATACTTTCTATCGTTGATATTGTGCATTTTACTCATAAATGTAGCATCCGACATTTTATTGTATATATAATTGTATATTTGGGCAGCATTCCTTCTTTTATACAAGTTTCATTAAAGACCAATGACAAAGTACTGCAATTAAGATTTTCATTTAAATTTTCTTGTGTTCCTATAAGTGTTTTATCGACAGGTTATTTATTCTCAGTCGGTTCGGATCTATCTATCTATCTATCTATCTATCTATCTATCTATCTATCTATCTATCTATCTATCTATCTCAGTCTGTTCATATCTATCTATCTATCTATCTATCTATCTATCTATCTATCTATCTATCTAATTCTTTTCATAGCTTTCTATCTAGCTTTCTATCTAGCTAGTCCATTCTGTTCATATCTATCTTTATATCTACATAGTTAATTATGATAATTATCTATCTATCTATCTATCTATCTATCTATCTATCTATCTATCTATCTATCTATCTATCTATCTCAGTCTGTTCATATCTATCTATCTATCTATCTATCTATCTATCTATCTATCTATCTATCTATCTAATTCTTTTCATATCTTTCTATCTATCTTTCTATCTAGCTAGTTCATTCTGTTCATATCTATCTTTATATCTACATAGTTAATTATGATAATTATCTATCTATCTATCTATCTATCTATCTATCTATCTATCTATCTCAGTCTGTTCATATCTATCTATCTATCTATCTATCTATCTATCTATCTATCTATCTCATTCTTTTCATAGCTTTCTATCTAGCTTTCTATCTAGCTAGTTCATTCTGTTCATATCTATCTTTATATCTACATAGTTCATTATGATAATTATCTATCTATCTATCTATCTATCTATCTATCTATCTATCTATCTATCTCAGTCTGTTCATATCTATGTATCTATTCTCAGTCGGTTCGGATCTATCTATCTACCTATCTAAAACATTTTGTAATTAAGTCTGTTGATATCAATTTATATAATAATATAAAATTCTGATATGCTTAGTAACTTAAAAACAAGTTCATATGGCAATACATACACACACACACACACACACATACATACACATATATATATACATATATTTATCTTTCCTCGCTGTTAGCACGACTCTGAGTTTCACGTACAACGCAATTTTCAGGTACTGATTTAAGTCTTAACTCAGAATATAACCATTGCGTTGTGCATTAAACTCAGAGTCCTGCTAACAGTGATCAAAAATCTATATTTATTATCAATATGCAATTTATAACTCTGTTATTGTACAGAGAGCGCTATATTATTAACATTTAGTCAATCTTTGTTTTTGTTTTTTTTTCAAATTGTGGAGTTGCGAACATTTGCTTTTGATATACATATCTTTGCGAACGTCGAAATACCATTATCCAACATGAGATTTTTTTTTATTTCATTTTAAAAGATAAACCTGATATCGACTTTTGTTTTGAATATTGTCTAACAGAAATAATAAAATAAAAGCCACCAGCAACTAGGTCTTCTGCTTCCGCAAATGCCAGACAATTCCAAAGAAGCCCTTGGGAATTAACAAATGGTGTGATTAGTGCTATTGAATATTAATATAGTTCGTATCAATGCAAGAGAGAAAATGCATTTTGTATTTTGCAGAGATAATTAAAACTATTTCAGATATTTGTTCATGTTTGTAATGCTCGTTTACTGTTCATTTTCGTTTGGATAAACTCGCGACAAACAGAGACAATATGAAGCATCAAATTTTAGAAAGTCTTTTAAAAATACGTTTGTACGGAATTCTGAGACAAATTGGAATCCTCCTATTCTGTATATCCATTCTTTTTCTTCTTCTTCTTCTTCTTCTTCTTCTTCTTATTATTATTATTATTATTATTATTATTATATTTTAAATGTATTACGGTAGTGCTGTGTAGATGTTTTCAGTACCAGGGAAGAATTTCCCTCAAGTCATATCAAGAACCTCAGATCTGCATTACTTTGTGAAGTATTCATGTTTACGCAATAGGGCAGAATTTTGTAACGTTCGCAAAGTGTGAAAATATTCTTTAAATGTCAACGAGATTCAAACAAGTGCCCCTATCACTACTGGGATGACGTCAACATTTTTCTCAATATCTGTCTATATTTCTGAGATGAGGTATTATGTAAACTATTTACATTATTTGGACTATTGTCCTCATCTTTGTCGCCATATTTATTACGACATAATTGACTATAACGAACGCGACTGGAATTGGAAGTCGTCTCTACGATTAAAAATTCAAAGCAATTATCCATTACACCACCCGGAATACCAACCTTACAGCACTTGGTATACACAAGCGGTCACCCATCTAGGTACTAAAAAGGCTCGACGTTGCTTAACTTCGGTGATCGTACATGAACTCGACTCTCCGATCAACAATTCCGAACCATTATCCACGACACCACGCGCAAGCTTACAGCACTTGGTATTCCAAAGCGGTCACCCATCTAGGTACTGACCAGGCTCGACGTTGCTTAACTTCGATGATCGTACAGGAATCTGCTCATAAATATACGAAATCCAATTAGAAATACCTTAAAGTCAGATAAACCACATCCACTCGGATGTGGTTTACCTGACTTTTATTATTATTACCAGCAGCATGGCCCGGCGTTTCCCGTGCTTGATTCAAAAATCATACGACTCATACAGCAATCGCTATCACTTGACTTAAAATATATTTTTGCCCTTCCTTGCCTTTAAAGAAGTGCCCTTTTCCGTGCTGATGTTGCTACATGCCTTACTTCTTGCCTATCTCATACTGCGAATTTTTTCTAAGCTCTATACTAAACATTAAATCTGTTACGAAAAAAGAACTAAAAAAATGAACACAAAACGATCAGCTTTAAAAAAAGGCTTGTAACTGGAAAAACCGAATGAAAAAAAGAATGTTAACAACAAATACTTTTTCACACTCAACCCAGTTCTGCGGAATCAGAATCAACGTTGAGTTTAAGCAAGCGAATGAGCCAATTGGAGTAAAGTGCCATGCAGATTTAAATTTTCCCCACTTCTGACGAATGTAGTTATCTATTTTTTTTTGCATGCTAGCATGCTAATTAACATTCGTGTCAGTCAGCTGTTGGCTCTCACGCTGGCCAATAGAATCTCCCTGCCTATTCGTGGCAGCCAGCTATTGGCTCTCACTCTGGCCAGTAGAAAATGGCCGCAAACTACATGAAAACTGCCGTAGAAGCATGAAAAAATCGATTATTTCCACTATCGATGGGAGTTGGGACATGCAAAGTCCTTTCCGCTAACTTGGAGCATGTACAAGTAAATTTTGGTGGAAACACTTCAAAAATTGCGGCCGTCCATTCAATACCCCCCCACACACACATACACACATCTTGCCTATTTATAGATAGAGATTATTATCATTATTGCAACAATATGTAAGCAAATGTGAAAGATAGAGTTTACAATTTCGCTGGAATTAGAAATTGTCGTCGTTTAAATAATAATAGCATATTATCTGAGATTATGTGTATTTTCCTTTGAAAACATTTCTAAAATAATTACTAATTATTGGCTTTTATCGTATCGTAACATAGATTCTTGGAATGCTGCGAGATTGGCAATGGTTTTCATTAAAAGTTTCTATTTTTTCAACCTCCGACTCTTCCCTCCAGGTAACCCCGCTTCTGTTGATCAAATACAAGTTCTTCTTTCGATGAGAACGTGATAACGTCATTTAGGGACAAGCCTCTTTTACCATTTTTTTCCGTTTTGTCGTTATTTTAAGTGTTTCGACCATTCCGCCACTAGCCAATGAAATTCTTGAATATTTTTATCTTGTCTTCGTCCTTTCTCCTCCTCCTCCTCCCCCTCCTTCTTCTTATTCTACTATTACTTCTTCCGCTTCTCCTCGTTTTTGTCTTCTTCTCCTCCTCCTCCTCGTTTTCTTCTCCACCACCTCCTTCTTCTCCTCTTTTTTCTTCTTCTCCTCGTTTTTCTTTTTCTCCACCTCCTTCTTCTCATCTTTTTTCTTCTCCATCTCGTTTTTCTTCTTCTCCACCTTCTTCTTCTCCACCTCCTTCTTCTCCTCTTTTTCTTCTTCTCCTCCTCCTCCTCCTCTTCTTCTTCTTCTTCTTCTTCTTTTCCAGTATCTCAGACGTATCAGTTTGCCATCATCAGGGATCAGGGGACAGAAAGAAGAAGAAGAAAAGGGAAAGAAGATGAAGAAAAATGAAGAAGAAAGAGGAAGGAGAAGAGGATGAAGAAGAATCATGGCGATAAGAAGAAGGTGAAAAAGAAAAGAAGAAAAACGAAAAAAAGAAAAAGAAGAAGAAGAAGAAGGGAAAGAAGATGAAGAAAAAATGTAGAAGGAAGAGGAAGGAGAAGAGGATGAAGAAGTGTCATGGCGATATTAAAACAGTAGAAAAGAACGAAGAAGAACAGGCGTAAAGAAAATTGAATAGAAGGAAAAGATTGACGTTAATAAACTAATAATTAATAAAGGAAGTGAATAATAGAAAGGCATGAGTGAAATTTGGGTTATGGAAGGCGAGGCAGAAGCAAAAGAACAATAAAAACAATGGCCGAAATAAAAGAGAGGTGTGGGAGAAAAATCGTTAAAGCAACGAAAGATAAAATGTTAAAACGAAGATCAAAAAGAAAATCCCAAAGACATAGAAGGCAGGAATAAAAAAAATAAAGAAAAATGTAAGGAAAAAAAAAAGAAAAGAAAAGATTAAATGATGCATAGAACATCCAGTTGATTGACAAATGAAATAGAGGAAAGAAAGACCTTTTTTTTTGTCTTCGTCTTTCTCATTTTCTTTTTGTCTTTTTCATCTTCTTCGTCATCTTTTATTCTTTTTTTTTCCTCTTTTTTTCCTCTTTTTTTCCTTTATTTTTCTTCTTTGTGCCCACTTTGCGCATCTCAGTTTTTTTCTTTCTTTCTTCCTCTTTCATTTCCTCTTCTTATTTTCCTCTTTCTCTTCTTCTTTTTTTCTAGATCAATTTCCACGTCTCAGTTTTCTTCTATTTTTCTTCTTCGTCTTTTCTTCATCTTTCCTTTTAGCTTCTTCTTCTTATTTTTGTTGTTGCTGACTTTCCACATCTTCTTCTACTTCTTCTTCATTTTTTCTTCATCTTCTTTCTCTTCTTCTTCCTGTTCTTCTTCCGTCTCTTTCTCTTTTCCATTTTCTTCTTTGCTTTTTCATCTTCTTCGTCATCTTTTTTCTTTATTTATTTTTCTTCTTCTAGTTTACATTCCACATCTCATTTTTTTCTTCTTTTGTTCCTATTTCCTTTTCTCTTCTTCTTCTTCTTCTTCTTCTTTTAATTCACTTTTATTTTCCTCTTTCTCTTCATCTTCTTTTTATTTTCCTTTTTCTCTTATTTTTATTTTCCTCTTTCTCTTCTTCTTCTTCTTTTTATTTTCAACTTTCTCTTCTTCTTCTTGTTTACTTTCATCTCAGTTTTCTTTTTGTTTTCATATTCTCTTCATCTTTCTTTCTCTCTCCTTCTTATTTTCCTTTCTTCTTCTTCTTCTTCTTCTTCTTCTTCTTCTTCTTCTTCTAACCCACATTCCACATGTCAATTTTCTTCTTCTTCTTCTTCTTCTTCTTCTTCTTCTTCTTCTTCTTCTTCTTCTTCTTCTTCCTCTTCTTCTAACCCACATTCCACATCTCAATTTTTTTCTTCTTCTTCTTCTTCTTCTTCTTCTTCTTCTTCTAACCCACATTCCACATCTCAATTTTCTTCTTCTTCTTCTTTTTCTTCTTCTTCTTCTTCTTCTTCTTCTTCTTCTTCTTCTAACCCACATTCCACATCTCAATGTTTCTTCTTCTTTTAACCCACATTCCACATCTCACTTTTCTTCTTCTTCTTCTTCTTCTTCTTCTTCTTCTTTTAATTCACTTTCTACATCTCAATTTTTACTTATCCCTCCGTTAACTGATCTATTTTTCGCTTCTTGAAGTCATCCAGTTATTTCTTTTTTTTATCTTTTCTCATAGAACATCCAATTGATTGATAAATGAAATAGATGAAAGAAAGAAGAATTTTCGGAATGGATCTGTACAGAAAGTTCCGGAATGGGTGATGGGTGATTACAGCTTTTAAGCCACACAAGACAGCACATAGGGTTGGCTTGAATGATGAGAGGTAGTCGAAAGCACATCTCAATTCTAAACCCCCGATCCAGCCTCTCCCACCCGCTTCTATTTTCACAGCTCACAGCAGCAGGAGAAGCCATAATGGACGCATTGATCACTCATAACATGAAGCAAAGCTGCACTCGACAAGTACGCCCTTCCCGGACCACAAAAGCCAAATCGAATGGCAGATACACAAAGATCTCGAGTGCTTTATTCCTGTCCGTGGTCAACGCTCTGCCCCGGCACTCCCGAATGCCTGAATCAAATAGCGAGAGACACTATATAGCCAGGGCCAGTTTTTGTTTTCATTTCTTATCGACTTCGTTGACTTACATTCCTTTCATTTTGAATTTCATTCATTCATTCATTCATTCACTGAAATGAAATTTAATTTATTTCAACATTACTAGGATTTCTTTAAATATATAAATATATATCAGGTCAGTTGGGAAAAAGTTTTCGACTCTTTTCTATTTCCCAAATGAAGAAACACCAATATATATATATATATATATATATATATATATATATATATATATATATAGAAATATGTTGTAGTGGTTCCAACGAGAGAAAAGTATGTATATTAAAAAGAAGAGAAGAGAGGTGCCGCAAACGTTTTTGGTTGTAATGTGGATTTATTTAGAAAAAAATATTATGCTTTGTTTTACATAATTTTACTACACGGGTTTCTGGTCTCGTGATCGTCTTCAGGTAAAAGCGGAGATTTCCACATATTATTAAAAATAATTTATTTTTCCTCATGTTCAATGTTAAATATTCTCGATATGAGACATTCTCTCTTTGTGTGTTGGTAATCCGAATTTCTTTCTATATATATATATATATATATATATATATATATATATATATATATATATATATATATATAAATAAAAATATATATAAATATAAATAAATAATATATTTATATTATTTATATATTATATGCGCGGTACTTATTAGAAAGCGCTCAATATCAGAGATAGAGCTAACATATTTGGTTGGATAGATGTGAGTTTGTGACCCTGGGTTTCACGCTTTAGCGATCGTCAGACAAACTGGAAACCCAGGGTCACAAACTCACATCTATCCAACCAAATATATATATATATATATATATATACTGCGTCTCAAATTATTATCGAGATAACTTTTTTCTAATATCTCAAAAATCGTCCAATCAATTTTCAAACAATGTTGGTAACACTGATCTGCGTAATCACTGAAATTTTCGTACTGATCTGCGCAAT